AAATCTCTTTAGAAAGAGAGTACTCGAGAGTTTTTCGATTCAATTCTTCGACTAAAATTTTAAATATCCAAAGGATACGTTTGTTTCTTTATTTACTTGTTGTGCTATTAATTATATTTGGATCGTGGATGCGAGTGTAATATTCAGATATCGCGTATATAAATTTTAGAAATTTACATATTTTTATCATGAATATAGGATCGGTATAAACTATCAATCATTTCTTAATCGATATTGTAATACAAGGCGAACTAATTCTATTTTTAGCACTTCAAATATAAATATCATGTAAATAAGCTCGATAGGAATGTAAATTAGATTGTCGAGGTATCGACAAACCGGATGACAAGTCGTATTTTCCAGGTTATCAGATAAAATATCATTTTTAACCGTCATTTTTCCTCAGCGTGATATTTTTCCTAGGCGAACAACTTGTAATAATCGAATAACTCATTTAGATCGAGCGTAATCTTGAAACGGAAAACAACAACAACGAAAAAAAGAAACAAGTTCTCCTTTAATACCAATGCAAATTATTTACGTATAACGAAATTCCTTCACTTTTTCCCATAATTTGTCTCGAAACACGCGGAAATCATAGACGCGGGGAATACATCGAGGAAAAATAATGATGCAGTTCTCGAATGATCGAGTCGGTTCACGCCATATGGGGAGCACTTTGAAAGAGACCTCGTATAACGCGTATAAATCGTGCATATAAATTGGACGATCGATAAAAGCATCGAGGCTGTATATACGAAACATATTTGTTCCTTCTCCCCTATTGTTTTCCTCCACGGTGTTTGATTTATTTGTTTGATTTATCCCCTTGATAACGCGTAGAAAACTGAATCTCACTCTCTTTCCGAGCTTCATCGACCGAGCATCATTGAAATAATTGTCCGCCAATTGTCGAACGGGATTATAAACAGGTATATCTGGATGACTGGACATGCGTGAATTTACAAAGGAAGGATAATTAGACGAGTGGCGTAATATTCCGTGTTTTCTAAAAAAAAAAAAGATATAACATAATTCTCGGGAACGGACAAGGAGGGATATTTCCCCGTGGAATATTTTGTGGAACATTAACGAAGTAAATTTTTTGCGCGTAATTTCGCGCGAAATCTGCGCTTTTCGCCACCACGATGCATATAATATTTACAACGGTGTATTACACGATAATATGTAAATTTTTTTTTTAATTTCGAACAGGAGATGTGTGGTTTTTTTTGGAGAAAGAGAGTTTAACGGAGGTAAAAGAGATACTTTAAATCGTTCTTGCTCTCTAGAGGAAGTAGATATTTATTTTGATTTTGGATTTAATTAATAGACGGGCGATATAAATTTTGGATTTTATTTTTATCAAAAATGCATCGAAATTTGTTTTTAAATAATGGCGTGAGACTATTGAGACAGAAACAGAGATTTATTAAATATTTATAAAATAAAAATAAAGTAAATTTCACGTGTTCTTCGCATGACACAACCTCGAACAATTTTCACTATTTTCACCTGATATTCGCTCGTTAATTGTTTACACGATTGTTCCAAAAAAGAAAAAATTCCTCTTCCCTGATCCATTCAAAATTTTCTCCGAAGAAAATTTCACACATCCTCCCCATTGACACTTTTGACACCTCGAGCAATTTTCAGAGCTACCACCGTATCGGTCACTCGTTAATTACGCGACCATCAAGGAAAATAAAATAAAATAAAATTCTTTGTGCCGCGGTATTTTCGAACGATCGAAACCAGGAAGAGGAAACGCGTCGTGGTTTTGCGGTCGCGTTTTCAAAATTCGAACAAGAGGCTCGGATTCAACCGTCTTTCAACCGCATGTTATTAAACGGAGGGAAGGCGGCGAAACTTCCCCCTGAAATTTCCACGGAAGGAAGCGTGGTCTTGGCCTCGTGTGACGATGGTAAAAATCCATCCATCGTCTATTTTAATATTTGAAATATCATTCCTCTTATATATCCACAGGATATTCGCTTGGCGGAAAATGAAACTGTGAAGAGGCGAGACAACGTGCCCTCCCTCTCTCTCTCTCTCTCTCTCTCTCTCTCTCTCTCTCTTTTTCTTTCTTTCTTCCCGTTGGTCGCGAATTTCGCGTGAAATTTCCACGGTTTTCGGTGTTTTAATATTTTTTTTTTATTTTTCTTTTTCTTTTTTTCTTTTTTTTAGTAGCGATGAGTATCGGTACAAAGGAAAATAAAGGGATTCCGTGCTGACGAGGATGCTTTTCGTTTGATCCTTTCGTTTCCACTATTTTTCTTCAGAATTTTCTCTTTTCGAAATTATGCATGCGCTCGAATAGAAGTAAACTGTCTAAGATCGAGTACACTGTTTTAAAATTATAATTTGACACGTTGATTAATGACGATAGTAATTAAGTTTTATGATGGACGCGAAATCTAAGATGTATTTAATAGCGGAATTACCTTTCTTTTTTTTTTTTTTTGTGTGTTCGAGTAAGAAAATGTAGTAGCAATGTATGGAGTTGGCACATACTTTCGTGCAATTACACTTTTTTATTTCTATGAAAGTGGATGAATGCGATAGATGATAGGAATATCGAAATTAAAAGGAAAGGGGAAATCTATTAATGCTTCAACATTACCTTTTTCCAATTGCTGAAAAAGATACTTATTTAAATTTTATTATCATTTAACTACGTGAAAAGTTTTCATCCACAGTTAATAATCGATACGATATCAAACGATTGTAATAATCGTTACTCGGATTTGTTATATTTTCTTTTTTTTTCTATGAAAGTGGATACGGATTTTTTTAACTCTGAAGTAGAAATGTACGAGACAAAAAGTATACGATATATGTAAAAAAGTGGATTACATTTCTTATTATTACCACTGTTCAATTTCTTTATCCACTGTTTAATCCGTATCCTCTCTGTCTGGCGCGATTGTACACAAAGGAAAGAGTAATCAAGAACTGGTTGATGAATCAGAAACACAGGTGGCAAGATTGCAGCGTGCTCCATTCACGAAATTCACACGGGAAATATACGTTTCTTTGTTCGCTATTTAAATCCGTTTCTTTGTTCGCCATTTAAATTCGTTTCTTTATTCTGGTGTAATAGTGATTGCGTAAAAAAAAAAGAGAGAGAGAGAGATAATTATTGAGAACGGGTCAGAAATGAGTCAGAATCCTGGATTTAATGTATCGAGGTTTGCATAAATGCCGATAATTATTTCTCATGTGCGTTATTATTATTATTTTTTTTTATATCTTTGATGATTATCGCGGAAAATAATTCAACAATGGTATATTATACAGTCGTTTTAACGCAACAACATTAGAGATAAACGCTTTGAAGCGTGAGTTTTGTATTATAATTTAAAATATATATTTCTTCGGTGTGACTTATTTATGGGGAATCTTGGTGTAATTTCTTCTTAGAGAAACTATTTCAACTCCGTTTTACTCATAACATATGATCAAAGGTGAAAATGAATGCTTTCGTGACTTACATCATTTCGTGTCTTAACGGAGGAGGAAGTTTGTAACGAAGTTGAAATCGTAATTTTTAGGTACGTGATTATCGTGATTATCGTTTCTTCCTATGCTACGTCAGAAATAGTCTTATTGCTTTTGAATAAAGTAATATAAAAGTTTCTAATCTCGTCGTTTCTCTAAAATTATTCTCTATTGAAAAATCATCAAAATTCATCAATATTTTTATACTTCTCTATAATTTGGATGCGTATAATTCTTTCGAAAAATAAGATTACCTCTCATTTATCAATTTTAAACTGAATTATTTCGAGAGACATTCGTTTCCCAGCACAATCATTTTCAAATCAACTTGGAATATAATTTAAAAAGCTTTTAAAACGATCTTGCGAATTTACATTTTCTTATCCCCTGACTAAGAGAAAAAGAAAAGAGAAGAACGTTAAATCGAAACACGTATCGAAGAAAATATTATTCCATATTAATTTCATCTTTAACAACTGGCGCGGAGTGTGGCACGTCGCAAAAATGAACAGATTTCGAAATAGATCGAGGCTGAATCGGAAATTCAGATGGGGGGAGAGGGAGAGGGGCGTATTGAAAATTTTTCCACGAGATCCATTCCACGTCCTTGCCACGTCTCGTACACAGAATTGATCGCCCGTTTTAATATCCCCACCCTTGGAATGATATCTTCTCGCCGTAGGAAAT